CAGTTTCCCGCTCGAGTGCTGAGGCTGAGCTGTGTGCTATGGCGACTGTGACTGCGGAGGTGACATGGCTACAATGGCTTCTTGAGGATTTTGGTGTGCCTGTCACTGCACCCACTCCTCTCTCTTCTAACAGCACCGGTGCAATCAGTATTGCTCGAGACCCAGTCAAGCATGAGCTCACCAAACACATTAGCGTTGATGCTTCCTATATGAGATCGCAGGTGCATGATCTGGTTGTGACGCTCCACCATGTGCCTTCAAAGGTTTAGTTAGCTGATTTCTTCATCAAGGCACAGACCCGGGCTCATCATAGGTTTCTACTCTCCAAACTCAGTGTTGTAGATTTCTACTCTCCACCATGAGTTTGAGGGAGGGTGTTAGATGTATAGGACGTGTATGTGTTTTCCCTCTACTTGAGTGCTTCTTTGCATATGTACATTGTGTATACTTGCCCTCTTGGGCCTTGCAATACAGTTGGTTGACCTCATTCTAGTCCTTCTAACATCACTGACACTCTTCTCCAGACCCCACACAGAGCGGGAGCTCTCTACGCCTCCTTTTTTTAGGGTATATGAAAGTACAAAACAGGCTAAATTTATGAACGGACCTACAGAATGATCCCCTTGACTCACACCTGAAAATTTTGGGGGACGGCCAAATGGCTTAATTGATGATATATTATGCTTTAGCTAGTAAGGGGACAAATTTTAAGTCACGTTCCATATACTTAGACTATTTTGTGATGCAGGTTTCATGATTTGTCCAAACGTTGCCACACAAAGCAGAGCAATTTTATGTCTTTTGATGCAATGGAGACGGATCCGATGACAAAGTCAATGGTGTACAAAGGTCCAAGCTAACAACGAACCAGTGTACCTAGCGTCCTAGCCTGCAAATCGGCTCCATGGACCTATTTTTACGCGACATGTGTTTTTTATGCGAAAGTATGGTCATCACTTTTCAAATCATACATTATTTCTTCACATTTGGCAGGCAGTCATAAAATCCTTCTTCACGTTGGCAGCACAACCTGTGGTTGAATACTAAACTGGTTACATATGCAACGTGCGATAGAATACTAAAGTGGTTACATATGTAGTGACCAAATTCACGCCAATCTATGAAGTTTTGAATTGCAAACTCCACGGAAAATAGGAGATATTCTTGCGTATGCTATTTGACACAACAACATTAAAAGAACTTTTTTTTCATAAATCACAATGCAAACCCCACAGACCTTTCCTCAGGAGAAAATCTTATTACTTACTTTATAAACTATGACAAATTTAGTAATTTTTTAAACACAACAACATTGAAAGAACTTTTTTTTCATAAATCACAATGCAAACCCCACAGACCTTTCCTCAGGAGAAAATCTTATTACTTACTTTATAAACTATGACAAATTTAGTAATTTTTTAACACTTCAAAGAGAACTTTTGATTTGAATTGTTTGGGCCGTCCAAAAGAAGAATCCAATTCCAACTAAGAACTATTTTAACAATTCAAAGAGAACTTCTTTTGATTTGAATTGTCAGGGCCCTCGCAAACAGAGATTCCCCTCAAAGTATTGGTCCAAATTTAGAAAAAAAAAATTTAGCTATTCAAAGACCATTTCTTTTTATTTGATTTGTTGGGGGGAGTTGGGGCCCAACAAAACAGGGTTAACCCCAAAAAGTTTGTACAAATTTAGAAATATTTTAAAATTACAATTTATTTGAATCGCTGGGGCCCTCCTAATTGGAGATAGACCTCCAAAGATTGGCCAAAACTTGACCTCAAAATTTTGGTCCTAATTGTGAACTTTTTATTTCATTTGAATTGTTGGGGCCCTCCAAAAGGAGATTCCCCTCCAAAAATTGGCGTATGCTGCTATTTGCGGCGCACACACGGTATTCTTTAGTAAAAGGCGAAAGAATAGTTCGCTCTGTGTGCACCGCGCAGCTGCGTGCCTTCTAACGCTACCCCTGGCCCTCCTTTATATGCGCTTCCTTGGACTACGGCGCTGCTAGTGAAGCGAGGTGGTACTAACGCTCCAGAAGTAACACTCATGCGCTCTTCTGCCGCGCGGCCGTGGCTGCGGAAGAATAGTTGGGCCAGGCCCGTTGCTCCGTGAGAGTGTGAGTGTCACTCACTCCGCACAGCAATTGCTGATGGACTGGCCCAGCAGCGCATGGAACAGGCGAACAGCGATTTCTGTGTGCTTGCTCTCCTCTAGACCCTTTGCACGTTGGCAGGCGAACAGGCGAACTAGACATTTGGACGTTCAAGAAAAATGCTGAGTAGTATGAGTTTTATACAGAACCAGTCTGGACAAAAAAACTACTTAGTCACTAAAGCAACATCACATATTCGCAGCAGCAATGCAGCATGTTGATGTGATGGTTGGAGAATAAATAATATTTTCTTATATATAGTACTCAAATATCTGATTTTTAGTTCAACAGTTGCCTACGAAAAGTAGTAGGGGATTTGCTAGCCATAATAAGAATTTAAATTTAAATTACAAATGCAACTTTGCGTAGTACTACTCCGTACTGCTTTTCTTGTATTTCTTTTCTATATAGTAGGAGTAGCATTGATGTCGGCACTTATATTTTTTTTAAAAAAAGATGCAAGACGTTCTTGATCATGGTTGTGCTGGTTCCCTTGGCAGTTGTGTACAACTATATTGCGTTCAACATTGAGAAACTTTGCCCAATTACATATTTTCATTGGGAAAAAGGTATGAGAATACAAATTTCACCACCGGTAAACATTCCACGATGAACCTATATACATTTTTTGTATGAGCGATCTCTTTATTTTGTTTATTGACAATCAACAACAACAAAAACATGATAATTAATTTATCTATAAAAGATAGCTAGAAATTCAACAAGAACCTCAAACCCTCGCTCTCAACGTACTCCCTCTACCTTAAAATAGTTGAGACTTTAGCAATAATCCAGACAAATGTTTGTCTTGATTCATAAAAAGTGATTAATTATTTTTTGGAAGGAGGGTGTACACATTGTGATGGTCGGATGTGCAGATCCAATATCCAAATACGTACGCCAGTACTATAAGGCTGTAGCAAGTAGTGTGGCTGGAAAACTAAAGATTCAATATGATTTCACAAAAAAACATGATTTTAGAAAGAAAAAAAAACTATATTCAAAATACAAATGACATAATATAATTTACAAACAAAAATGAAACACCACCAACTAGCCTACGAGCAAAGTCCCCTTATACTCCCTTCGTTTCTAATTATTAATCACTTTGACTTTTTTTATACATCATTTTTATTATATACTATATATCTAGATATAACGTACCAAAACAGTCAAACCGATTAATAATTTGGAATGAGAAATAGCAAACAAAGTTACCAACAAAACAATTGGTGCACGTCTTCTAGTTCTTATCGCCCGATTTACTCCCATCGTTTCTAAATAAATTAACTTTTATAATTTTAAGTCAACTTCTATACGTGTGGATAAATAAAGTTGTAAGAAAGAGCACTACGCTTAAAATGTATATCATTAAAATATATTTTGTGATATATTTAGTAATAATAATAATTTAGTATCATGTTTATTGGTGTTATTTTTTTATAAAATAAAGTCAAATTTTAAAATAGTTGAGTTAGAGATATGTCTAAACGTTGATTTATATATATATATTTATTTAAAGAGGCAGGAATTACTTTTGTCATCCACGTCTCACACCCACGACACGCGGCGAGTCGCGCCCGGCTGCCGCCCGGCACCCACCAGGCCCACCCACCATGCCGCGCGTCACACTTGCATTCGCGGCTACCGATAGGTACGTCGTCCTGGCGGATGACGCCGTCGCCCAAAGGCGACCCAGGCAGATACGACCTGGCCAGCTGACGCCTTGCGCTTGCGCACCCCGTCGGCCGCCTCCACCAGTCGGCGCCTTCCCGCCGCGCCAAGGGACAACGGGAACGGGGCAACGGCGGCTTACCCTTTCGGCGGAACCAGAGGCTGATCCGCGGGGCCCGGCGTGTCTGGGTGTTGGCCCGCCTGCTGGGCTGGCATTATTTTCACCCCCACCACTACTTTCCTTGGAAAACCGAGGCGCGTCCGACGCTCGAGAGCGACGCGCAGACCCGCCGCGGGTGGAAAAGGCGACGGAGACGAAATATCTGCGACGCCGCCGCGTTCGAACGTGACGCAGTGACGCTCCCTCCCTCGAGGTCAAGTCGCGCTCACTTGGCAAGTGACCTGTGAGGCGTCAGACGTGGCTCGTGGCGGGCAGACGGCGCAATCGGTGCGTGTTTCTGGTTTCTCAGGAAAAGGAGTACACTTTGAGTGAAAACGTTGGTCCTTCAATTAAAAAAAAAACTTTGAGCATGCATCAGCGGATCAGACTACCAGTTATCCCGCGGCTGCCTGCTCAATCATCATCACTGAGCCACGAGTGGAGAATTAGGACTGCTCCACTGCCACCTTTCTTGCAGTATTTTACAACTGAAACAGACGGCAGAGGAGAACAGGAGGAGTAGGCAACTTCGCTCGCTCTTCCCGGACCCGTCGGCGTCGTGCCGTCGTCCCTACGATACCGCGAGTCCGTGACACACCCAACGCTGAACGCCTCCACCAAACTTGCAGCGGCGAAACTTTCCACCGTATCAAATGGACGCCGACGACGACCAGCCGACGACTCAACCCAGCGGTGAACCCGCAGCGCCGTTTCCTGCTGCGCACGTGCCCGCTTTGACGGCTCCGGGTCCCGAGGCCCGTCGCGATCCCGATCCAAGAAAAAGCGCAGGGAACCCGCCGGGAGGCCCGTTTGCCCGCCTCACGCGCCGCACCAGCCCACCACCAGCTCAGCTCCCTCCTCCGCCTCCCAGCCTCTTTATAAACCCCGCCCGCTCCGGTCGTCTCCCCACCACAACAGCAGCCGCAAAGCAGAGCACGGGAGAGAGAGAGCAGAGCGCCACCAGCCAGCCGTCCGATCCTTTGCCTGCCCAACAAGCAGCAGCTGGTCCGATGGCTCTCGTCGCTCTCTCCGTCTCCTCCTCCGCCCGCGCCGTCCTGGCGTCGCTGGCCCCCAGGGCAGCCAGCATGAGGGGCTACGCGGCGTCGGCGGCGTCCGGGGCCATGAGGCGCGGGGCGGAGGGCGCGGCTGGCGCGGGCGAGGCCAAGGAGGCCGGGCGCGCCGCCGCCGCAGAGATCTCGTGGGTGCCCGACCCCGTCACGGGCCACTACCGCCCCGCCAACTGGGCCGCCGCCGTCGACCCCGCCGACCTCCGCGCCGCGCACCTCGCCCGCTCCTACGCCCGGGCCTGAACGGCCCCGGCTCCCTGGCCTCGTCTCGTATAGCATACATACCGTACTATCAGGGCGGACAGGGGTCGGGGTTCGTCTGGCGAATGGCGTTCGTCGCGCCGCGTGACGCCCGGCATGTTCGTTCTTGGAGAGCGGTGCGATGTGCTGTGAAGCTGGATCATCTTGCGTCCGATCGACCAACGGATATGCCATTACAAACAAGAAGAGCGGCCTGTGGTCGCCGCCGTGTGTTTGGGTGCGTGCGTGTGTGGGCAGGATGCCTGCTCTGCTCTAGTGTGCTCCTATCAGATTCAGACCAGATGTACTTCAAGGAGCAGGGTTTCGCTGCTGTTTTACTTTCTGCAGTTAGTACTACGTACGTAATAAATTTGCAGTTTCTTCCAATTCCTATGTATTACGAACTGAACTTGTATGCCGTCTTTTTTTTCGTCTGACAAACCTTTGTGTCTATCTTTATTGGACATGAACACGAACGAACGGAACAATGCGGTTTGAACGCCTCGAATCAATCAGATGCAGTATGGCAAAAGTACTCCCTACTATGTGTACAGGCGGTCTGAGATACGAAACGGTGCATTTTGTCCGCCGCGAGAATCTCTACAAACGCATTGTTTAGTGGAACTCTTCAAAAGTTCTTCTGATGTCAAATAATGACGCGACGTAAAACTAATGGCCGGTGCAGCTGGCCCGCGTTTGAATACTATTTTAGTATGGCGTGGTCTCTTTGTAGCAAATAGACGCGACGTACCTGGCCGGTGCAGAGAGCCCGGCCGGTCAGTATGGCGTGGTTCGTCCCACGCGCCTAGCCCTCCCACGGTCCACCGCCTACTACTAGGCGCTAGCATCCCCACCCAAGCACCACCACCGGTCACAGACTCACAGTTGCTCAGCGCCACTGACGGTAAAAATAATTAATGCTCCCTTTAAAAAAACGGTACAAATGATTTATGTGGACGACTGACTGAACTGCTCGAATGGCTAGTGCACAGTTTTTTTTTCCTGTCTTGCGTTCACACGCCAGGGTACGTTGCACGGGTGCTTGGAAAAAAAAAGTTCGATGCGCTTTGCTTCGGCGCCCGGTGATCCCGTTGCTCTCCAGCCGTCAGCCGATTATCACTAGGGCCTCGTTTAGTTGCGGCCCGAAATCGGCCTCGTTTATCACTGTAGCATTTGCTTTTTGCGGGTAATAATTGTTCGATGCGCTTTGCTTCGGCGCCCGGTGATCCCGTTGCTCTCCAGCCGTCAGCCGATTATCACTGGCATTGGTTGTGCACTCGTGCTGCCTGCACTCGTCGCCTGCGCTGTGACTGCACAAGCCGCGTGCTCCCACGACAGGCCGGGGGTGAGGGCCACGGGCCACCTCAATAAATAACTAACCACCAGTAGCTATTAGTCTAATCTCTAGGATTTTTTATAAATTTAATTAAATTTAAAAGAATTCAAATTATGCAAAAAAAAAAAAACAAGATGTCCATGCCCACGGGCACGAGGCACGTCGCCATGGGACGGAAGGATCGCGAAGAGAATTCTAGGGCTGTGTTTTAGTTCGGGAATTTTGGATATTTGGTCACTGTAACACTTTTATTTTTATTTGACAATTAGTGTTTAATTATAGAATTAATTATGCTTAAAACATTCGTATCGTAATTTTTAACCAAACTATGTAATTAGTTTTTTTCATCTATATTTAATGCTTCATATATATATCATAAGATTTGATATGATAGCTACTGTAACACTTTTTGAAAAACTTTTTTTAAGAACTAAGGAAGCACGAACTCCAGCTGAAAGGAATGGACCACCTCAAGTGCACTCAATTCTCGAGAAGATAGATATCACGTGTTACCCGGACAAATATAGGGACAGTGGGTGATGGCTGATGGGTCGCATGACGCCGGTCTCGGTGGAAGTTTTCCTTTTATTTATATTTAATAGTATACCACGTATATATTTCGATGACATATCAATATTTTAATAAAAAGAGAGGAAGTAACGTATAAATAAAATTCTCTTGAAACGATTATCAACTCTCTATAAGTCATAAAATTAAATATTAATAAAATCATGTGTTCGATTCATAAACCCGGGATCCCTCGCAGACCGACTTCCCAACAAAAGGCTCGGCCCAAACAGACAGCGAACAACTCATAGGCCGGCTCAAGTATCTGAACAACAGCCTAGAAGGACGATCCAATCACCGACCGGAAGGTTTGACCTAGGAGGAGCGGCACTCGTTTTTTTAACTCCGGCCCACCTCTCCGATTGGAGCGCTCGCTCCGACTCTAGCCGCCTCCGGACAGCCTCTCCGACCGAAAGGCCTGACCAAAACACTAATTCCGACTCCGACCCTACGTCTCCGACTAGGGTACACAGAAGCCCTGCTCGACGCTCTTCTCCGACTGACGCAACCAGAGCCGACTGGGACCAACCGACCGGGGACGCCCGCCCGGAAGGGACCAGGGAACGAACGGAGAAAACAAGGTAAGGCGCTCAAGTCAAACCACGATACCAGGGACCGTACCATGTACACCGACAAGAACAGTACTCTGCAACCACCCTGACACGAACAGTGTTGTAGGCATCGACATTTTCCTATAGTATTGTGGGCGCCATTAACTCTCATACGGTAAGCCTCCCATGCCTCTGGGCATCGATAGTGTTGTGGGCGTCGGAATTTACCATACCGAGTGAACATGGTGAAACTCCTCACATGCCTCTAGGCATCAACAGTATATACAGGTACCGACATCTGTATACCCGAAACAAGATGACGTAACCTCCCACATGCATCCGACATCCAACAATGTTGTGGGCGCCTACCATCATCCTGTACCTTGCCGGCGTGAGCAACAAGATTTAGAAGCATACATACTCTCTCCCTCTCATTTGTAAGGTCATCCCCTTCATCTATAAAAGAAGATGCGCTCTCTCCCAAAAGACTCAGTTGATTCAAGTTGATTCAAGTTCATCCAAGTGATTCCAGATTCATTAGATCGATCAAGTTCACTAGCTCACAACCACAGAACCATCAGGTTCAAACCTCAAGCACACGCTTGAACACTCAGCTCATAGCGGAGCTCCCGTCGCTCCCTGCCCTTCCGATCCGGAGCCGACCGGACCTCTTGTACACCCCATCTTTCTCCTTCTCGTTTGTAACCCCACTGTAAACTTCGAGCACCTGGGCTCAGGAATAAAGTCACCGACCGACTCAAACTGGACATAGGGCACGTTGCCTGAACTAGTATAAACCCTGTGTTATTTAGTGCTAGGCCACCTCCGATCACAATGTACGGCAAAACTACAAATATTTACTTGTTGATCACTTTATGCACCAACAGTTAACGCCATCCGTAGGGAAGACATTGTACGTTCAACACTTTTTGGCCATCGGATGGCCCACTTTTCCGCCACCTTCGCCATGGCGGGCTCAGGCGATATGATTCGCTTTGGCTCACTGTAGTTTCCCGCACTCCCACCTGTTGGGATGTGGGTTCCACCCGTCTTCGAGCCATCCCAGGCCTTCGTCCTTGGAAGCCTGGACTTCGTTGTCGACCGGCTCGGCGTACTACGCCTCCGTGAGGAGACACTCGTTCTGGCGCCCGTCGGAGGGGCGCCCTCCGTCGGCTTCGGGACGCACGACAACTTCAACGACGCGGCATCTGTGCTTCATCCCGAGCAAACCCTCTGCTCAAACCCCGCTGTGAGTAATGCATATGCTGTTATTTATTTATTATTCTCTATCTTCCTGTTTATACCAAAATTTGGAAGGAGAGTGCCCGTGAAGCAGTGACGCTCTTATAAAAAGTTTTGAGGCATAGGCTCATGGGTGGACGCAATCAACGACAAACAGTGGACCCCAGATCAAGGTTCTCTACCTATGACTATGGACCAATCAGGGACACAGACGTGATAATTTTAGAATAAAATTACTTTTATCCCAAAATTAGAGGGGCATGTGTTTACACCAAAATATGGAAGAAGAGTGTTTACACCAAAATTTGCAAGGAGAGTCACAGGGACTCGAAGGCACCCAAGATCATGTCATCAAGGAATTAATTGCGTGCAGATCAGAGCCAGCTGATTCGGATGCAAAAACTAGAATCGGCTTTCTTCAGATAGCACCAACAGATAACGACGAAGGCTACGATCGGCGCCAGGACAAAGCATGTTGGACTCTATAAAAAGGGAAAGATTAGGGTCCAAGTTATCTTAAATTAGGAATATTTTTTTATGCCGGAAAATTGTAACGAATCGTGCTCAGGTAGGATTCGTGTTTAGGCTCTAGGTATAAATATCAAACCCTGCCTATTGTAAAATGAACAACAATCAATCCAATACACAAGTTATTTACTTTTTTGGCTCTAGCCACCCTTAGGAGTAGGAGTAGAGTAGATCTCGACGAGTTCTTCAGCAAGTATGGCTGCATCGATCCGGTCGACCTCCACTACTTGTTGTAAGTACCGTCATGGCTTATACCTCTGTTTGTATGGCTACATCGATCCGGTCGACCTCCACTACAACTCTGGTATGAGTTAGTTATCGATTCTTGCCTAGTTCAAGTATGGCTACATCGATCCGGTTGACCCCACTGCATGAACTAGATCAAGGTTAAGTTATCGGCTCTATCTTAGGATGACAGCCTTCGGTAGATTCATTAAGTTATCGATATTGCTTATTGCTTTTATTATTTATCTATTTACAGTAATATCACTCTGCCCGGATTGGGATTGATCTAGATCGGCCTTATATCTTGTTTAGCCCATCGTTTGCTAATTCGAACTGATCTAATCTACACCTTAAATGATGAGTTATGTTTTATCGGCTGTTTTATGTCAATCCTGATCGTGCATAGCGTGCGGTTAAGGCGTGTTACGTCTTGAGTAGATTTATTAGTTAGTGAGAACCGTTCTATGACCCGTTATCACGGCCTGTGTGATTCTACCTCACACCCCACTGTTAGCACCGTGGAGTAGGGATCGTTATCTGGTAGATCTATTCCT